TCTCATTAATTAAAAAATTATTTTAATTGAGACATTATTTTTGTTTTTATTTTTATTTTTTAAAAACTTTTTATAAAAAATATCATATAAATTTTGGTTCATTAATAACTTTTGGTTGTGCTATCAAAATTAAATTATTAAAAAAATTAAAAAAATAATATTAAAATCACACTATTAGTATTAGAAAACATATGATAAATTATTTTAAAACTAAATAGTTGATTATTATCTTAATTTAATTTTTATTTTGATTTTTAATTCATATGTATGTTTTATATTACGTGGAAACTTGATTATTATAGTAAAATGGAACATTAATTTTATGAATTATTTAAGGTGTTCTAACAATCTTAAAACAATTTATTTTTTAATATATTTGTTCTGTGTATATTTGTTATACATGTAATAAATAATCTGTCAAGAATAAATTAATTATGACTATATTAAATTCCTTGTCCTTTGTTAAAATGATTTAAAAATAGTTTAATTTTTAAAAAAAAGTTAAATTCCAATAGTTTAATTTTAATAGGAAAAGTAAAGTGTATATACCTTCTGTTAAATTCCATGACTATGTTAAATTCCTTGTTGTATGTTATCTATATACTTGTTGCATTTGAAATAATATATGTTAAATGCAATTCATTTAATTGGAATTTTTTTGTTTAAGTTACATATAGATTATTTTAGTTGTTAGAGACATCTCAACAACTATAAACAATTAGTTTTTTTAAATAGATATATATATATATATATATATTGTTTTTTTATAACAAATAAAAAAGAGATTCCAATCATATATAACATAGTAGTTATTTCAAAAGAAAATCAATTAAAAATCATCAATCATAACATTCTTTAAATTGTGCTAAATTAAATCTTTATATTCTAACATATAAGTATAACATCTCACAGTCATTATATTTACACACTTTCAATCATCTTGAGTGCTATCGAGTGAGTTATAGAGATTATAGTTTTTAATTGTACAATCTACTTTATGAGAGAATGAATCTTGTTACAAACAAATTATAATTATAAACAAGAGCGGAGCTAGACACATTTCACAGGGGAGGTTAAAATTAATATAATAATATATATTATTAAAAAACTTATTTATTTAAATTAAAAAGTATTAAAAATTTTAAAAATTTAAAATGTTTTGCAGGGGCCCGGGCCCCTGCTTGCCCTCCCTTGGTTCCACCCCTGATTATAAACATTTGTGAGTTTGGATAAATTCCTAGCATCAGTGATGTATTGTCATCAAGAGAAAAAACTTCAAATTGTATAATTTCTCGTTGTGGATTTATCAAGTGCACTGTATATTTCAATTAGATTAGTAAAAAAGTACAATACTCAAGTACAGTTAGTACTTGAGGTGTGGATGTAAGCTTACCGAACTACATCAAAAACCAAGTTTGCAATATCTATTTACTTTAAATACTTTAATTATATTGTTGATTATTGTGTTGTATGTGTTTAGTGTATTTATTTGTATTATTTGACATAATTAGTGAAACACCTCATCACCTCTTTGGATGCTAGTGTTGCTTTAATCCTAGAATTATGTAAGTATCAATTAAATTTGTTTTTATCATAACTTTAGAAAAGTGCATATTGTCGAAAGAAAAATATTTGTATTGTTATAGTTTCTATTGAAAATTCCATTGTGTCTCATAGTAAAACAAATAAATAAAAACATAATTGCAAAGTTAAATTGTTTATTAATTTTTTTTTTTTGTAGAATTAGTGTGTTAAATTTTTGTGATTTATTTTAATTAATATTATTTGAGATTATATAAGTGTGATATATAATTGCAAAGTTAATCTTGTTATTGAGATAATAGATGGATAAAACTATCTATACAAAATAATATTATAATCACATTTCTATTACCAAAGAGCAAGTAATAAATTGTTTTATGATAATTTATTGTCAATCTATTAATTTTAATTTGTGGCTATTCATATAAAATAGATTTCTAAAATTGGTATTGAGATTTCTAAAACTAGAAGTGAATACACGGACAATGATAAAAATTTATTTTTTATGGATGTTAAAGCCATGAATATTTTATATTATGCAATGGGTTAAAGTGAATTTGATAGAATTATATTCTATAAAAATGCTTAGAGATATATAGCATGCTTTAAAAGTAACTCACCGAAAAACTAATAATTCAAAAAATCTAAAATTTAAATGTTAATTCATCAATATGAATTGTTTGAAATGTTCGGTGAATTCATAGCTAAAATGTTTATTAAAATGAGTAAAATAACTAATAGTTTATTAGTTTGGATGGTTTTAGTAATGCTGAAATTATAGAAAATTGATCATTTAAGTTGATTTTTTTATATAGATAGAAATCAGATCATTATAAATTTAATAAACTATTTAAAGTGTTCCAATGGAAACAAAAATTGGTGTTGTGAATTTGAGTCTGTATTGTTCTCTGCTTTCCTTTTGGTTTTTTTCGCTTGTCCCTTCCTGAAAATTTGTGCTCCGCTTTTGCCTTCTACCTGCTGCTTAGTTTAGGGTATTAAATTTCTTTGTTTCTTCAGAAGATGCCTTACTCTTTGTTGATATATATAAGTGAATTAGTTGCAAAACAGGGGAGTCTATGTGAAAACATTATAATAGCATTTACTCTGAGTAAGAAAACTTTTATGCATGCACTGTAGTTGACAAAGAAAAGAAGAGAAATCCCTTTAATTTATGAAAATGCAACGAGTTACCCTCACCTCACTCTGCAATATGTATCAGTGTTCATTGGCTACTGCAAGTGCCAGCAGTAGCTGTCCATATATGATTTTGGATGTAGAGATTATATCACCAAAACATTCAACTTTATAGTGAGAAACTAGGAAACCATACACTATATATTGTGGCTAATTGATTTTTGTCTGCTGCTTTTGTACTTTTAAGATCACTACCACTTCAACCCTGTACAAGTTAAAACAAATAGAAGGCCCCAAATCCAACACTATTCATTTAAGTTCAGTTGCAACTCAAGTTTCAAATTGAAACACCAGTGCTCATAGCAATAGATTAACCTTGAAATTTAAAGCGGAACAAGCTTCATGCAGCCATCCAAGAGGTCATCATCGAAAGAAGATGTTACACAAGACGTTCCAACAAAAATTACTTCCCAGCACTTTTTATTCCCTCGAGTTCCCATCTTGTGAGAAACACGTGAAAAATAAAAAAGACAAAAACGAAAGAAGATGACATCCTGTCATTGCTACCAAATCCTCACCAGCTGCAGCTTTAGATCCATTACCAGCTGCAGAACCAGTAATTCTGTCAATCATACTGACAACGGAGCCAATGTCACCGACAGATGCACTAAGTGCTTTGGGAGACAGAGATTTCACCTGGGAAAAAAAATTGCAGCATCACCATCACATTCACCAAGAAGTTTCTTTCTTTTCCAGAAACCTCCCAAATAAGGGTGGGGTGGAGTAAAACCAAAAGGAGAGCATCACTAACCGCTTTAATCAAGCGCTCAAGTGGTTGCTCCGTAACATTTGACTTGCCAGAAACAGTTGTCAAAGCACCGCCATGAACACCATCAGGACTGGTAAACTCTGCAAGCAAAGGTGATGCAGATATCCCAGGAGCGCCAATTGCAAGGGATGGAGCCAGTGCTTGTGCAACAAATGGTTGGTGTACAATATTTCCAGTATTTAAGAGTGAGGAAATACCAGAAACTGGTTTGTCAGAATCTCCAGGCATAGGAGCATCCGCTTGCTGGTGTAATTGCTGCTGCTGCTGCTGCATCTGTTGATTCTGCATTAAATTCTGGCGTTGCTGCAATCGTTTAAGCTGCTGTGTTTGTAGCATCTGTTGTTCATGCTGCTGTTTTAGATGCTGGTGTTGAATCATACTGGAATTCGACTGAAGGGGAATATTTGGCTGCAGCAAACTTGCCCCTCTTTGTGTTGACATTGTGTTGACATTGGTTGATTGGGAAATGCTCATGAGATCCTGTTGTACAGATCCTACAGGTGTCTGCTGCAATGAGTTCAGTGCATTTCCTTGTCCAGAATCTAAATTGGAGCCTGGTTGTATTGGATTGATCATGTTTGATTGTGACGTTGAATCCCCAGATAAAGTTGAAAGAGAATTATGCAGCAAGCTTGACATATTGTTCTGCTGCATCTTTGGTACAGAACCTTGCATATTCATTGATTGCAACTGGGGATTCAGTTGATTTTCATGGGACTGCAATTGAGGAACTTGAGATTGGGGTTGCTGCATAGGTTGAATATGAGGTTGGGGAGGTTGTCCTTGCTGTAGATTAGGAATAGGCTTCCTGTATCTGCTTGGGTTTAGAAAACCTACAATCTGCTTCTCATAGAAACCCAATTTATCCTTGAAAGTAGGTGTGATGTTGTTTTTAGAGACCTGTAAGAATGATATCATGCGCTCCAACATGACCTTGAATACCTTCAGCTTTTCAAGATGTTCTGACTTTGGTTGTTGCGGACAAGAGTCATACTGAAAAAGCAAAGTTAACATACACGAGAATTAAAAATTGCATTGACACTTTGTAGCAAAACTAGTAAACATTAGTGAAAAAAATGTTTCTATTCCAATTCTTCTGTGTCAATGCTTGGTTGTGGGGTGGTTGGGGGTTGGGGAGGTAATTAGTGCAGATGATACAGTGACAAGCAATGCTGATGGGGAAAACAAATTAATACAAAAGCTCAACTGTGGGGGTTTCTGAATCATGTGTGGGCAAATAAATCGGAAAACATTACAGAGACAATTTACCTGCTCTAATTTGGTAGCAATTCTCTGGTACATTTCATTTATTTCAGGCAAATACGTTTCCTTCATTACTTTGATCTAGGAAGTACATATAACCAGCAAAACATTATCAATCATATGCTTGATTTCTTCACGTGCCAGAGTCAGAAAGAAACATAAGCAAACTTGAGAGAATTGATAATAAATAAATAAATAAAATGGCAGAGGACAGCACATATTGTTTGAGATAAAAATAGCAGAGTGGAATCAATGCTGAAAACTCAAAAGAGAATATCATTATTGATTGCATGCAAAGATGCAAAGGATTGTGTAGTTCCCACTTCAGACAAGATTCAAGGGTTGGTCAAGTTCAGTTACTTTGTCTCATGGCAAACTACAATCACCATTGTTTTCTATTGTTCTAACTCAAGTCAATGGATGTCATGACTTTGGTAAACACTTCTTAGCTTTATAACATGGGATTTATAACCCTTATATCCTAATTATCAACAACCATTCCTATTCCTGTTTTAGTACCCTCCCAGGCACAAAAAAATTGACTTCATCAAATATGCAGTTATGAATTGCAACTTCATCAAACAGCCATTAAACGATTCAGAATTTCAACCTCGTTTTCTAAAAAATTCAACAATACTGGACATGGTCATGATTCAATGGATTAGGTCCACTTATTTTCCTTTCTTCCATGGTCACATGTTTCAGAACAAATTTGATTGTAATCCTGAAAATAACTGTTCACTTAACCAAATATAACAATGACCATTCAGAAACAGTTCACTCTTGTTTTCAAGTCTGTCTGTCTATTACAGTAAGAAGTATTGTCAATTGGACTTGTTGGAAATAATAAAATAATAACTCACCACACAATAAATGTATGGAAATACAGGGAAAAAATCGAAAGGGAGAGATTTGCAATAGAATTGTTGTGTCAGTACGAAGAAAATAACCCTCTTGACCTAGAAATCTGAATATTTTACCTTTAATCATCTTATCAGTAATTTATCGTTTCTTAGTTCCATAGCTGAATAAAACTCCCTTGTACCAAATTCCAGGAGACCTTTTCCATTGAAATCTTGCAAGACTGACATACATGAACTTCGTCTAATGAACAGTAAACCACAGAAATTACCTTTTGGTAGAGCTCCTCCTGCCAATCAGCACCATTTGCATGTCCAGTCTCTGCTGTAGAATCTAGGGACGCTACAAAAATTTTGATGCAGGCAAAATAAAATAAAATAGAATTCATGTATTTTTTTAATGTTTTCCGCACACAAGGGCATTTCTGTAATTTTTACACTTTCTGAAAATTATGGAATGTTGTAGGTCTTGGTTTTATTTCTATTTAGTATTTTATTGTTCCTAAAGAATAAGGAGCTTTATTAGGTTTTCCCTATCCTAGATAGGACCATTAGTATTTTCCTACATAGGAATACATGTCCTTTTTGGACTTGGAGCTTGGAGTACTAGGAACTCCATCTCAACGTTATGTAATCATTCAAACAGACAGAGAAACCACGCCCCCACCCAACCAAAAAAAAAGAAAAAAGTGATCATTATATATTAAAAAAAAAGGCTCAAAAAACTTATCATGGAAGAAAAACTCGAAAGTGAAACTTTACCTCCTAACCAGGAAAATCTTCAAAAACCATCTCAATCATAAAATATAGATAGTCATGCATCACAGTCCTTGTTCCTTAACAAGTTAAGGATGAAACACTTCACATGCCTTGCAGAATTAGCATTGAGGAGGTGATCATGAGATTTTTCCAGCAAGGTGATGATTTATCAGCACACCAAACCTTAAGTGCCTCAGAGTTAATCCACTTGCCAATTTCTTTCTTCCCATAAAAATCAATTGGCTGATGATTAGTTACCCTAGCGTCAAATGCATTGTCCAGTTATACATATATTTTTAAAATTCATGTCCGTTAAATTCAAAATGAGAGGTGAACAGTTGGTGCAACGAGCTGGAGGGCATGATGTGGTAACAAATGAGTGTGATTGCAATGGTTTCAATAGCAGTGGCATCAGTAGCACATAAAACTACCAAAAGAGCATTGCTGACTTGAACCATTATGAGAGGTGAACAGTTGGTGCAATGCACTGGATGGCATGACGTCGTAACAAATGTATGTGTGATTGCAATGGTTCCAATAGCAGTGGCATTTCTGATTCCATAAGTGGCAGCCGTAGCTCATAAAGCTACCAAAAAGAGCATTCCTGACTTGAACCATTATTGTATTTTCAAGAGATTTAAATACATATGTTATAATCTAACATGAAAGCACAAAGCTGCAAATTAAAGTAGGAGCAAGGCTAGAAAGCTGCAAGGATGAGAACAACTTACTTGAGGACGTTTCTGGAAGGGCTCTTTGAGGTTGATATAACTGCTTTTGCTGATCAATCACATTTGACTGTTGAAGCAAGGAGACTGATGCTTGAAGCCTTTGCTGCAGATCATGTTGTGATGGATTTGATTGCTGTTGCAACTGTCCAGGCTGTGATTGAATCTGTGCCATCAATTGCTGCTGTGGCAGCTGTGAGTGTGACTGCTGCCCTTGATTCAGCAACAAAGCACTTCCACTTTGTTGTGCTTGCTGCTGCAGCGTAACCTTGGGCTGTTGCAGCATGTGTAGAGAGTGCTGATTAGATTGCATGCTTGAGTTACCAGGCTGAGCTCCATGCAACTGCTGTTGCTGTAAACCAGTGACATTACTTTGAGGGCCCAACTGTTGCTGATGCATGCTTGAGAGGTTATTTTGTTGAGCCATTAACTGCTGCTGCTGCAGATTTTGAAGGTTATTCTGCTGCCCCAGCAATCTCTGCTGCGGCAAGTCCCCAACAGTGTTTTGCTGTCCAATTAATTGATTTTGCGACATGTTAGTGGTATTTGATTGTTGCCCCATTAGCTGCTGTTGTGGAGGCAATAGTGGCTGCAGCATCATTGGTGTTTGCTGCTGATGAATACCAGCTGACTGTTGAGGTTGTTGCTGCTGCCTGAGGACTGATTGTGGATGTTGCTGGACCATTGGTTGTGTTGACTGTTGAACAGAAGATGGTTGGTTCTGTTGAAGACCAGAGACGGTTTGCATCATTGAAGGCTGCATAGCATTATTACCTCCTGGATCCAGGGGTTTGTTATCATTGCCAGTGGGTATGGTATTTTGAGACTTGGTCTCCATTGTAAGCATCTTCAGAGATATTTTACGCAGATAGTCAGACTGAAATCAGATATCAATAACAAAACATTAGATCTCTGAGCAGTCCATGTTAGAAGAGAAGGGGGAAAAGAGATATAAGCTCTTTCTAATATGCTAGGCTTTCTGTATTTGCATCTTTTGTGAGGATATACTTCTGTGTCCCCTCTTTTTATTTAATTATTTATGTATTGATTCGTTATTTGCATTTTGCACACTTCCCTTGTACTTGAAAAGGACCTTGGTCATGATAAAAAAAAAAACACTTGTCATGAGAATTAACAAAAAGATGAGAACTTCTATAGAATGACCAGTGAGGAAGTGTGGACACACTACACACACGTGTACAAGCATGAATCCACAAACTTATGCATGTGTATATTCATGTCTAGAGAATATCCAAATTATTGAACCTAGCATTAGCCGAATACCTGATTGGTCGCGGCAGTATAAATCTTTTCCTCAAACCGCACGGCAATTTTCTTGAGTTCTTGTAATCCCTCCTGACCAGTAAACGGAAGATGCCTCTTTAATGTCTCCATTCTGCACATGTAAAACATTGCATTTAATTTTTAATGACAAGGCAGGTATAGAGAAGTTAGCAGTAGAGAGAAAGAACCGTGAACTCATCATATATACAACAGAATCATTAACAAAAAGTAAAAACAAATAACGATATAGCCGAGTGTCAGACAAGTAATATATGGCATCAAAATACAGACATCTATTTTTACTTCCTTTCCCTGTATTATTCCAGAGGTAGGACTTTACTTGGCCACCCTTCTGTCTAAAATTTTAGTTACAAGCTTCATGGTTAATTTTCTTGAACTGGAAGAACCTTCCATTTATGGCTATGGCTATGCTCCAAGATATATAAGTGCATTAGTTGAAAACCAGGGCAACTCTGTAAAAACATTACAGTAGCATTTACTCTGAGTAAGAAAACTTTTATACATGCACTGTAATTGACAAAGAAAAGAAGAGAAATCCTTTTAATTTATGAAAATGCAAAGAGTTAACCTTATCTCACGCTGCAATATATACTCTACAGTGCTCATTGGCTACTGCAAGTGCCAACAGTAGCTGTCTATATGATTTTGGATGTAGAGATATCACCAAAACATTCAACTTTATACTGAGAAACTAGGAAACCATACACTATTGTGGCTAATTGATTTTTGTCTGCTGCTTTTGTACTTTAAGATCACTATCATTTCAATCCTGTAGAAGTTATAGCAAATAGAAGGCCCAAGTCCAACACTATTCATTTAAGTTCAGTTGCAACTCAAGGTTGACATTGAAGCACCAATGCTCATGGCAATAGATTAACCTTGAAATTTAAAGCGGAACAAGCTTCATGCAGCCATCCAAGAGGTCATCATC